AGCCCAGGAGATGCATAAGGATATGGCAGTGAAACATATGACGTAAGATGCAAAGCGGGGTATTTATTGAGGGGTAAATATGTAGTATATTAGTAGGTGGACTGAGAAGTCTTTACCTTCCTAGTACCTTAGCCAATAGGGAAAGTGAGAGGGTCCTATGTGGCCAGGAAATCAGGATAAAAAGGGGGCTGCAACCCCCAGCAACTTTGAGAGACCACTGGACTCTCCTTTTATTCGAATAAAGTGTATTTTTACAGGACTCCTCTGTCTCCTTTGTGAACACTGGTGCCAGGATTTTCCACACAAAACTAAGGACCAGATGAACTCCAGAGGTCCTGTCCACCTGTATCATTTTGTGCTTCCGAAAGACTCAGCAACGTTTCAAGAATATTTTAAAGTGTAAGTATATGCTCATGTTCATCCCAGTTCAGCAAAACACTCAAAGAAAAAGTATTCAAAATGAGCGCAAGGAAGACATAAAAATGCCCCAAAGTGTTTGGCTCAAGCTGGTGATTCTCAAGACAGCCTTAACATTTCACTGCAGAACAAGGATGCTGAAGCAAAAGCCATCAAATGGTTTGCCTTCACTAGACACTGGCCCATGCTAAATGCAGAAGTTCTGCTTGTAAGACAAGTTCAAAATTAAGAAGTTCTGCTCTTTAAAAACTGAATTTCAGAGTGTTCTTTGAACGTCACCCCGAAACAAAGCCCACTGTGACTGATCTGTAACTACCTGTAACTCAAAAGGTAAAAGAGTTTTTTAAAAAATATTTTAAAAAGCAATGTTTCATTCTGAAAACACTGTCTGATGAAATAATTAGCCTTTGTGGAAGGAACTCAAGGGACATTGATAGAAAGAAAAGAAAGGCTGACAGGATTTCATGAAGTATTTCGATTTTTCTAGGAGTACTCTTGCTAGTTGGACACACAGCTATCAACATTTTCCCATTTACCCTAAAAAAAAAAAAAGGCACACTCGTAACTCAATATCAGTGAACAGAGCTTGTCCTCTGGATTCCTGACAATCCTTGCCACAATTAGATAACCATTTCACGTACTGGTTTTTTTTTTATTGTTTATTTTATTTTCATTAGCATTAATGAAAAGTCAGCATGTTTGGTTAGATGATTTACAACACAGAGCCACTTAGATGCCACTGCACTTTCAATAGGTAGATTAGAGTTTAAGCATAAAAACCTCAAGGTTTACTAAACTGAGTTGTTTTCAAGAGATTCCCTCATTTCCTCTCATTTCAGGAGCACAGAACAAGTCCCACTAGGAGCAATTTAGGAGTATTCTAATACCTGACCTGCCTTAACCCTCTCCATGTGTCTGCTTTACATCTGTTCCAGTCACAAGGTTCTCTAATAACTGAGTTATTTCACAAAAGCAGGAGCAGGCCTAAGTCTCTACTTAGGTTTCTGCTATTCATGCCCAGGATGCCCACAAGTAGGCTTTTCAGACATACCTAAATGAGGTTTCCACCAGCACTAAGTGACTGATTCAAAAACTAGAGTATCTGGTAGTTCGTTAGACACTTGCTTTTAATACAGGATCTGTACAGGGAACTCAAAGCCACTTGCTTGTCTTTGGGACCAGTAGCGTTCATGAGTGACAAACCAGGGCTCAGAGGACCACAGACCTCAAAGCAAAACAGATCCAGTTATCCTTTATCAACAAAAGCCCAGATAATAAACATATGCATTCCACTCTCAAACTCCACTGGAATCAAACATCCTTTGCCACAAGTAAGGTATTAAGTTTCCAGAGCCTCATGTTTTATAACCTGTCTGGTCACATTACTCCTAAATGCTTTTAATTCTCACACATTAAGCACCCTCATTAGCCTAAACACCATTGATTGATCTTCTTGCACTGCTCCACTTTTAAACAAATGCCTCAAATTATTGTTAAATAACTTGGAGTTCCAAGTCAACAATTCCCCAACTGGAATTTGAAAATGTCTTTATCTATATTTGGGGCTGATAGCACTTTAAGAAGAGGCTCTGAATGCAAGTAGCCTGAGTTGTTCAAATGAATAACATTTTAAAATTATTATGAATATATTTCTATTTTTTTGTGTGTTTTACTGGACATCTATATGCTGCCTACA